ACTATGGACTAAGGACAAAGTACATTTCTCTAGGTTTCCTTGACAATGTGACAAGTTGATAAAAAAGAGCCAAACGACTTCTGAAAAGCTATCGAAAAATTTGTTTAAGTGAACGAACAGCAGAAAAATATTTTTTCATGCTCAAACCAGCAATTTGCTAAACTAGCTTTCTTTAGATACGAATTCAGTAAATATAAATACTTAAACTTAATCCTAAAGTTCTATATTTGCTTAATAAAAATAGTGCTACAAAAATACAGGCAATGGGGTCTAGTAATGTATTGCCAAAACCCACTTACCATGGCAGCCTTTTCCACTAAATCTTGACGAACTTGCCTAGCCTCCTCAACACTATCTACAAAGACAGTTCGTTTCACCGAAGTTCGCTTGCCACGCACGCACGGATCGCCTGACAATAGATTCATTTCAGCCTCGAGCCGCTGAATCTTGCCCAATTCTATCTGAAGTTCGTTTCGAAGGTAAGTAAGGTCTGCGCCCATAAGGTGGATTAACTGTTTATCTGAATATTCCTTTTCACGCAAAAGTGGAATATGGCCCAGCTCATCCTGTAAAAGTTATCCAAAAATGAATGGAAACCAATGAGAGAAAAATATATTATAGAGCTAACTAAAACGCATAAGTTTATAATTGGTGGCTCCAAAAGTTTAGATTACGTCAAAATATGAAGACTAGAAAAAAATACGGAAAAAATTCACGATAAATTTAAGATTAAAAAGTTTTAAAACTCATCATAGATATGAAAGGTAAAAAGTGGAGACGAAAGCTAAACATACTCTAAAATTGTTGAGCTTACTTTTAGCTCAAAGCTTATCGAGATAGCATATAAACGAGTCTGAATTGAAAGAGACGAGCAATAGAAAAAAAACAAATGATAAGTCCTTTACGTATGGAAATGAGATTAAAGAGTTTGGCACATTAGTCAATTGAGTAGAGCGATTAAGTAATGATAGTGAATTAACCTCAAGTGGCCTGTGACTATTCTCTTTTTCAAAAACTATTAGTCTCGAAAAGCATTTATAGTGAAAGTATTTAAATGAGAATAATTTCAATCTGCGAAAGTGCGAAAGCAAATCTGAATTTCTTAGTTAATTTTTTATTTTTATTTGACCCTTAATGATCAGATTAGAGGAAACTTTTAACATGCTTTGGTGATGTTAAAGTTAAACTATAATGGCTATTTGGCATTTAAATGCTAATTTTCTATCCATTGACCAGCCATGGTCAAATAAATAGGGTGGCTTTTAGTGGTTCTTTGTTTCTCTCCCCCCGTTCCTTTGAGCATTCAGCTTGCCGGTACGAAGGTACTCCTACCACCCGTGAAAGTCAATCGAGACTAAAATCCGCTGGAAATTATAATGAATGATTGGTAAAATGGCTCACACATCTGGAATCTATGGAAAGGCAACTTAGCCCGAAAGGTTGTTTAATTATGAGTCTCGTGAAAAAAATAAAACGGACATGATCATGTCATGAGAAATATATAAAATTACAGTTGAGTAGCATAAGATAAGTCTTCCTATTTGAGTAGTGTAGACGAAGTAGAATTCCAAAGGGCTGCACAACAAAGAAAAGTAGAATAGTACTCAATAGTGTCGGAGTGATGATGTACTTTTTCATATAAGGAGAGCGGCGAAAAAGAATGAGTGGAGGTCCGGTTATTTTAATGGCTCTCATCTTGGGAGTAAAAATAAGTTAGTCATTATTACGATTCTTTAATCTGGGGCCCATGCGAGGTTTAAAAGGCAGTCCTGTCTGTATAAGTACTGCTAAACTCAATAGCATCAAGATAGGTATACTCACAATAATGTCGCAAAACCCAACTATCAATGCTT